ATGAAATTTCTTTGACCTTGAAAAACATTGCGTCATCCATGATTGCATCAGATTTTTATCACGTTCAGATACTATTGTCTCGACGATCGATTAGTTGTCCTATGGGTATTGTCTCAAAGGAAGCGTACGAAAATTGTAACGCTGCTCGAACACACTGGCAAGCCTTACCAGTGAGTAAATCAAATTACTATAGACTGGCACGGAAACACTCCTGATATAAATTAAATCGAGAACTTTTTGCGTAGCGTAGGTCTTCCTCCTCTGAAGATAACGTGATTCCCGTATTGTAGACGCCAAGCATTCGTGTGTATTTTTATTCGTACAATTTTATTATTACAACATCTCCATTAACCGCCTTCAAATAAAAAGTCTCTTTGTAACTGCGTCAAAATCATTAGACATATTTCTAGAAGATTATTTTCCCAGTTAATATTTAATATATATATATATATATATATATATATATATATATATATATATATATATATATATATATATATATATATATATATATATATATATATATATAGTAAAAAAAGGAGTAAAAGATAGCGGTTTGGGTGAGGAATCGGAGAGCCGTGTTCGAATTCCAGTCGAATCTATTACGATCACTTACGCGCTAAAATCCTTACAATTAGTTAGATAAAGTCCCTCAGTGGACGAAAAGCATTAATAATGTATGGCTTTTCTTTTGCTTTTATTCATACGACGTTAATTTTTTTAATTAAAAGAAAACGATTAACTCAAGATCTTTTATTTAAAATAAATCCACACATACAGCCGTCGGAAACAAATATTAGTACAAATACAACTTTTTAATTTAGGCCATTTCAACTAAGGGATAAACGTACTTGTTATATAATTGACTATACACAGATGCATAATAATTAAATATACATTTAAAGCAAAAAGAAAATTTGATTTAATAGAAATAAATCCCATTTATCCATTTTAATGGGTGAAAAAGTTATTCGTACAATACCCACACAATTTCCTATACTTTTGTCTAAAGATAAATAATCGTGAAAGTATAGATATTTTTTTACTGCCTTTGGTAATTAATATTTCTTATTTCATTTTAATTTGGTAAAACATTTACAGTGGGTGGGGAAACTAATATTCGTACACATACACATTTTAATTTATTATATTTCCAATTAATGAATAAACATGTTTCATACAGTTAATGGTGCACAGATGATTTATGACATTTATGACGTCATTCATCATTACCATTTTGAATGTAGCCTATTACTTTAGTGAGTCTCGAACTGCGTACTGGATTAAATTTATTTTTTTAAAATGCATGCAAATCCTACTAATTTTGAATATTTACGCAACAAAATATTATTACATCAATTTTCTATATTTCCATGTGTTCTATAAATCTGTGGTTAGTAAATACCGATAAAAAATAAAATATATATATATATATATATATATATATATATATATATATATATATATATATGGACAGCAAGGCGGGAACAATTTACCTCGTACATCAAAGAAGAGGTTCAGTTCGAAATTCCTTCAAACATACTCGGATCGATCAGAACCTGGTGAAGTTCGGAGTGCAAAACCACCGAAAACGTTCTTACAACAACACGAACAACAAGATTAGGACAATAGTCCGTATGTAAATAATATAAATAACGACACGGATATCGGTTGCGCAGAGGTAATATAATGCGAGAAAGTCTGAATTAATGGCAACGCATGCCAACGCCACAAGAAAAAAATTATATAAAGATCGAAATCGATAAAACAACGGAGAATCGGAAATACCGGGGGAGGTGATAAATGTTGTGCTAATTAGTAAAATTACAAGCGATTCAACAACTAATTCAGAAAGAGATTTTAAAAGGGAATGACTGGGTAGGAAGGGTTAACCTCTGAAAAATGTGCAAACCATTAAGTTCTGTCTATGTCAACTACTAAGCAAAGAATATTGTTTTAAGAGTGAAAACCACGAAGTCTGCTATGATTTCAAACGGATCACCCATTGCAAGTCAGATGAGCGGACTGTATTATTGTGAACAAAAATTGAGATGAAGGTTACGACATAGTCGGTTGTACTTTTCCAGTAAGCGATGGAATAAAACGGAAGGCGTAAAAACTAGATTTTTTTTTAATCCCGTGAACTAAGGTCGTAGGTGGGGAGGACCATGTGTAATGCAGAAATAGCGTTTCTTTAGCAAGGTATCCTGACTGGTTTTGAATTCATAGATTTTCCTTCTCCTTGACGGTTATAGAACCTACTAATCCAAAAAGAACTAGAAGTTCTACCAAGATTTATTATCGATATAACACTAACTTACCAGGAGGCACGGTGGAGTAATGAATACCAGTTCGAATTGAGGAATCGGAGAGCCGAGTTCGAATTCCAGTCGAATCCTTTACATTCACTTACGTGATAATATCCTTCTCCAACCCCACTCCCATCAATGGATAAATAGCAGGACAGACCGGGTTCTGTAGCATTGGATGGCAACTAGTCTACAAAAAGAAATGACAATCTACTGCGGAAAAAATCCGCCTCGTCAGTCATGTATCGAAAGATGCATGATCGCCTAAGCAAACCGCGCTGATTACACAATGTCGATGGCAGATGCAGCCAAAAAAAATAGCAGATACTCCATGATACTGCAGTGAAAGAAAGCGAGAAGACATGACGAACAATGGTAAGATATATATATCTGTTAACAAGAGGAACGGTTCAATATGCGAGCCGTTAATTAGAAATGCCAAAATTAAGCAAGAACAGAAATTTCAATATCGAGAAAGTGTTATAAAAGACGATGGAAAATGGGTCAAAGTAATCCACCGGGAGTATTGGAATATCGAAAGACATTTAATCAGAAAAAAAATTAGGGAGAAAAAAGCCGAGAAAACATTGCTGAACTGCTACATAATATCAGTCCTCTAATATTGCAATGGACAATCTCTTCACAAATGAAGAAGAGACTTGAGGCAATAGATGTGTGGTTCTATAGGCGGATGTTGAGTATAACTCAGATGGATCATGTGAGCAAAGGATAAGTTTTAAGGAAACTGAAAAAAGGATATTTATACTGAAAGTTGAAATTTCCAGGACACTTATTGAGGAAAGAAAGCTTTGAAAATTTGATACTCTCAGGGATATAATGAAGACAAGAGCGAAACGAGGAATATCAAGTAACAGTGCTTGTGTAAACGGAGGAAATAATAGAAAGTTGGATGAATAGTAAGGAGACAGATATTACTTAGAGCTACAAAGGATAGGAAGTTGCGGAGAGCCATAACATTACAGTACTGGAGGGATTCGGCAAACTAAAAGAAGTTCTGGTTAGTTCATAAATCTGAGGTTTTCAACTATAGAATTTTTGGTATTGGAGAATTTAGGTAAATGTCATCAGGAGAAAAAGCAAATCAATCTAGGGATGCGGTGGGTGGTGGAATAAAATGCGGTGGGTGGTGGAATAAAATAAGAGAAAGTGATTTATGGATAACATTTACATTCCCAGAATTAAAATTTAGAACAAATATGACCTCTCTATGACCTCTGGGTAGGTGTGTGTAATTAATGTGTCTGTGTGTGTAAATCGAGACAAATGCGTTGAATGAATGTGTAATAGAAAAAGTGTGTGTATGTGTATGTGTGTGTAGAAATGGGCATGCTTGTGCTGAAAGTGTGGGGGCAAGAAGTAAAAATGAGTGGGCGTGTGTATGTGTTCGTGTATGTTTTTGTGCCTGAAAAAGAGTGCGTGTGCGGGCCTTGCGTGGGCGTCGTGCAAGTCTGTGCGGGGTTATGTATGAGAAATGAAGATGCAATGTTTGTGCTTATGTTTGTCTCTCTCTTCCTCCCCTCTCTCTCTCTCTCTCTCTCTCACTCTCTCTGTACGTGTCTCTGCGTGTTGCGTGCGCGCGCGCGTGTGTGTGTGTGAGTGTGAGAGAGAGATAGAACTCATTTGTTTTTTGTGTTAAGGCTCTGTACGTGTGTGCGTTAGTGTTTGTAGGTGTTTTTTCCGTGTGTGTGTGTGATTGTGCGCGTTTTTAAAGCAAGCATTCAAGAAAGAAAAAATATAGTGAGGAATAAGAAAGAAAAAAAAGAAAGTAAAATTGATACAAATCAACCAAAAGAAAAAAGAAAGAAAAGAAAAAAACCGAATGAAAGAAAAAAGAAAAAGAAAGAAAGAAAGAAAGAAAGAAAGAACAACTATATCTGTATGGGTGCACCTACAGCTGGAGACAGCAAGCGGTGATAAAGTCTATAATTTATTTCACGAAATCGGAAAAGAGGGAAATAGTTGGAAGACAATAATTGATGCGAACAGCGTTAGAATGGGGAAATATTCTTGGGATTTCTTCGCCATAGGAAAAGATGTCTTCTTTGATAGCTACGAAAGACAGGAATTATAAAACATTAGAGATCTACCCTTATTTTAACTTCCCCCACCTGCTGGGCTGTATCCATCAGCATATCTTTAGAGATATGTAAAAGTCACTACCATATCTATCACCAACGCCAGGGGCCTGATCAGTATTTTTTTTTTACTCTGATCTGCAAGTGTCTGGAGGAGGCGTTCTTTAACATTAGAAGTTTCATTGGAAACTTTTGTAACGTTAGAAACCGTTCCTGTTTTGCCCTATTAAACAGTTTCCAGTGAAAATTATTTAAATACTAAGAATAGAAACATTCTGAAAGGCTCTTTGCATTTGTACGGACTGTCAGTTCAAAACAGCGGCCGTAGGTATACGTAAGGTTACTAAAAAAATTAGTTTATGTATCTTATATCTACGGTATCCCTTCAGTATGTGAGCAATCGTAGCTCTCCAAACTTCTTATCAATTGTAGCTCTTAGCAATATTTCGATTCAATATCGTCCCCACTTCCTGTTTTGACATCTATTTACATAAGCTAGTTATGTAGATTGTTCGTTGTTTTCTTTTGTTCCTTTTTCCCACTAATGTCCTTTGAGTGTTAAATTTTCCAAACCAACTTTCCTCATTATTTGGACTTACGGCCATATCATGTTGAAACACTGGTTATTGTACGATCACCAATATTAAGCAACGTTGAGCCTGGTAATTACCTAGATGGGTGACCGCTTGAGAATACCAGGTGCTGTAAGCTTGGATAGTGCAATGGATAACGTCTAAGAATTGCAAATCTGAGAGCCGGGTTTCAGTTTCGGTCGGCTTCGTTATATTTAATTCCGGGAGATTACCCTTGGGAAAGGTATGAATCCTCCTCTTCGCCCCCCTCTATGGGTTAATTAGCAGGAATTTTATCAGCAAATAATTATATCTCCACCAAAATTCTTAAAATCTAGAAATATTTTTTGGCTTTAAATAACCTGCAAGGGGTTGATAAGCCGTAAAAAACAAATCAATCCTCTTTATGTATCCTAGAAATTTCCATTCTCTCTCTTTTTGATTTTTGGTGTAAGTTTTGCTTCTATTTCCTGGTTGCTTAGTCTAAAGTATTTTCAGTATCCTTCTGTAGAAACACATCTATCTCGTGTCTACTTCATCTATGAGGAAATTGACCAGTATTCACAGATAACACATCGCAATTCAATTAATTTTCACTTAATATTTCATTTAGATTCTAAAAGGATTCTTTTTACTTTCTAAAGTATCTTCAGATTGCGGTGTCATATTTTCCACCATTTGTTAAAACTCATTCCTTGATTTTTAACATTTGTTCTAGTTTGATTTTATCATCTCCCATTCTTCGCTTGAATCTTGAGCTTTTTCTCATACTGACAACCATACATACTGCATTCTTACAAGTGATAGGTTGTACTTCTCGCTTGCATTTAAAACATTGTAATTTTCTTTGATCAAGAAGAATAAATCTGTTGTTTTGTTATTGAAATGCTCGAAATGTGTCAAAGGTTGGTTTTGCTCGATGAGGTAAGAATCTAAAAGAGAATACTTACAGAGAATGCTGCATAGGGAAAAGACAAACAATAAGAATTTTTCTAAAGCATCTGAGAAATTTTATTAAATAACTAAAAGGTTTTTTTCTCGATCAAATCGATATCTGGAGCCTTCTATCTTGATTGAATTAAAGTAGACGTAAATTTCTTAATCTCATTTAAATATACAGTAGTACAAGCATGTCTCAGTTGAAGAAGGAAGCTGTTGATAGCAATTGGAAAGAGGAAAGAAGTAGTACAAGCATGTCTCAATTGAAGAAGGAAACTGTTGTTAGCAATTGGAAAGAGGAAAGAAGAAGTACAAGCATGTCTCAATTGAAGAAGTAGAAACTGTTGTTAGCAATTGGAAAGAGGAAAAAGTAGTACAAGGACATTTCTCAATTGAAGAAGGAAACTGTTGTTAGCAATTGAAAGAGGAAAGAAGTACAAGCATGTCTCAATTGAAGAAGGAAATTGAAATTGGAAAAGGAAAGGTAGTACAAGCATGTCTCAATTGAAGAAAGGTTGTTGTTAGCAATTGGAAAGAGGAAAGAAGTAGTCTCAATTGAAGAAGGAAATGTCTCAATTGAAAAGAAGGAAACATGTCTCAATTTGTTGCTTGCAATTGGAAAAAGTAGAAAGTCTCAATTGAAAAGAAAAGCAATTGGAAAGAGGAAAGAAGTAGTACAAGCATGTCTCAATTGAAGAAGGAAACTGTTGTTAGCAATTGGAAAGAGGAAAGAAGTAGTACAAGCATGTCTCAATTGAAGAAGGAAACTGTTGTTAGAAATTGGAAAGAGGAAAAGTAGTATTGGAAAAGCATGTCTCAATTGAAGAAGGAAACTGTTGTTAGCAATTGGAAAGAGGAAAGAAGTAGTACAAGCATGTCTCAATTGAAGAAGGAAACTGTTGTTAGCAAAAAACTGTTAGTAGAAGCATGTCTCAATTGAAGAAGGAAACTGTTGTTAGCAAAAAGAGGAAAGAAGTAGTACAAGCATGTCTCAATTGAAGAAGGAAACTGTTGTTAGCAATTGGAAAGAGGAAAGAAGTAGTAGAAGCTGGTCTCAATTGAAGAAGGAAACTGTTGTTAGCAATTGGAAAGAGGAAAGAAGTAGTACAAGCATGCCTCAATTGAAGAAGGAAACTGTTGTTAGCAATAGAAAAGAGGAAAGAAGTAGTAGAAGCATGTCTCAATTGAAGAAGGAAAAAGTTGTTAGCAATTGGAAAGAGGAAAGAAGTAGTACAAGCATGTCTCAATTGAAGAAGGAAACTGTTGTTAGCAATTGGAAAGAGGAAAGAAGTAGTAGAAGCATGTCTCAATTGAAGAAGGAAACTGTTGTTAGCAATTGGAAAGAGGAAAGAAGTAGAAGCATGTCCAATTGAAAACTGTTGTTAGCAATTGGAAAGAGGAAAGAAGTAGTAGAAGAAATGTTCTCAATTGAAAGAAGGAAACTGTTGTTAGCAATTGGAAAGAGGAAAAGAAGGAAGTACAAGCATGTCTCAATTGAAGAAGGAAACTGTTGTTAGCAATTGGAAAGAGGAAAGAAGTAGTACAAGCATGCCTCAATTGAAGAAGGAAACTGTTGTTAGCAATTGGAAAGAGGAAAGAAGTAGTACAAGCATGTCTCAATTGAAGAAGGAAACTGTTGTTAGCAATTGGAAAGAGGAAAGAAGTAGTAGAAGCATGTCTCAATTGAAGAAGGAAACTGTTGTTAGCAATTGGAAAGAGGAAAGAAGTAGTAGAAGCATGTCTCAATTGAAGAAGGAAACTGTTGTTAGCAATTGGAAAGTAGGAAATTCAAAGAAGGAAACTGTGAAAGAGGAAAGAAGTAGAAGGCATGTCTCAATTGAAGAAGAAAACTGTTGTTAGCAATTGGAAAGAGAAAGAAGTAGTACAAGCTTACGTCTCAATTGAAGAAGGAAACTGTTGTTAGCAATTGGAAAGAGGAAAGTAGTACAAGCATGTCTCAATTGAAGAAGGAAACTGTTGTTAGCAAGAAGAGGAAAGAAGTTAGTCTCAATTGAAGAAGGAAGCTGTTGTTAGCAAAGGCATGTCTCAATTGAAGAAGGAAAACTGTTGTTAGCAATTGGAAAGAGGAAAGAAGTAGTACAAGCATGCCTCAATTGAAGAAGGAAACTGTTGTTAGCAATTGGAAAGAGGAAAGAAAGTAGTACAAGCATGTCTCAATTGAAGAAAAGGAAACTGTTGTTAGCAATTGGAAAGAGGAAAAAGTAGTAGAAGCATGTCTCAATTGAAGAAGGAAACTGTTGTTAGCAATTGGAAAGAGGAAAAAAGTAGTACAAGCATGCCTCAATTGAAGAAGGAAACTGTTGTTAGCAATTGAAAAGAGGAAAAAGTCTCAGTAGAAGAAATGTCTCAATTGAAGAAGGAAAAGCAATTGAAGAAGGAAGCTGTTGTTAGCAATTGGAAGAGGAAAGAAAGTAGTACAAGCATGTCTCAATTGAAGAAGGAAAATTGTAAGCAAGAAAAAAAGAGCAATTGGAAAAGAAGTAGTAGAAGCATGTCTCAATTGAAGAAGGAAACTGTTTAAAGCTGGAAAGAAGTAGTAGAAGCATGTCTCAATTGAAGAAGGAAACTGTTGTTAGCAATTTGCCTCTAATTAAAGAAGGAAACTGTTGTTAGCAATTGGAAAGAGGAAAGAAGTAGTAGAAGCATGTCTCAATTGAAGAAGGAAACTGTTCAATTGAAGAAGGAAGAGGAAAGAAGTAGTAGAAGTTCCAATTGAAGAAGGTCTCAATTGAAAAAAAAGAAGGAAGCTGTTGTTGTTACAATTGGAAAGAGGAAAGAAGTAGTACAAGCATGCCTCAATTGAAGAAGGAAAACTGTTGTTAGCAATTGAAAGAGGAAAATAAGTAGTACAAGCATGTTCAATTGAAGAAGAAACTGTTGTTAGCAATTGGAAAGAGGAAAGAAGTAGTACAAGCATGCCTCAATTGAAGAAGGAAACTGTTGTTAGCAATTGGAAAGAGGAAAGAAGTAGTAGAAGCATGTCTCAATTGAAGAAGGAAAAACTGTTGTTAGCAATTGGAAAGAGGAAATAAGCAGTAGAAGCATGTCTCAATTGAAAGAAGTACAAATGTCTCAATTGAAGAAGGAAACTGTTATTAGCAATTGGAAAGAAAAAGAAGTAGTAGAAGCATGTCTCAATTGAAGAAGGAAACTGTTGTTAGCAATTGGAAAGAGGAAAGGTAGTAGAAGCAGTCTCAATTGAAGAAGGAAACTGTTGTTAGCAATTGAAAGAGGAAATAAAGTAGCATGCCTCAATTGAAGAAAAAAACTGTTGTTAGCAATTGGAAAGAGGAAAGAAGTAGTACAAGTATGTCTCAATTGAAGAAGGAAACTGTTGTTAGCAATTGGAAAGAGAAAGAAGTAGTAGAAGCATGTCTCAATTGAAGAAGGAAACTGTTGTTAGCAATTGGAAAGAGGAGAAGTAGTACAAGCATGTCTCAATTGAAGAAGGAAACTGTTGTTAGCAATTGGAAAGAGGAAAAAGAAGTAGTAGGAAGCATGTCCTGAAGAAGGAAACTGTTGTTAGCAATTGGAAAGAGGAAAGAAGTAGTACAAGCATGTCTCAATTGAAGAAGGAAACTGTTGTTAGCAATTGGAAAGAGGAAAGAAGTAGTACAAACATGTCTCAATTGAAGAAGGAAACTGTTGTTAGCAATTGGAAAGAGGAAAGAAGTAGTAGAAGCATGTCTCAATTGAAGAAGGAAACTGTTGTTAGCAATTGGAAAGAGGAAAGAAGTAGTAGAAGCATGTCTCAATTGAAGAAGGAAACTGTAAAGTAAATTGGAAAGAGGAAAGAAGTAGTAGAAGCATGTCTCCCAATTGAAGAAGGAAACTGTTGTTAGCAATTGGAAAGAGGAAAGAAGTACAAGCATGTCTCAATCTTGTTGTTAGCAATTGGAAAGAGGAAAGAAGTAGTACAAGCATGTCTCAATTGAAGAAGAAAAAACTGTTGTTAGCAATTGGAAAGAGGAAAGAAGTAGTAGAAGCATGTCTCAATTGAAGAAGGAAACTGTTGTTAGCAATTGGAAAGAGGAAAAGAAGTAGTACAAAGCATGTCTCAATTGAAGAAGGAAACTGTTGTTAGCAATTGGAAAGAGGAAAGAAGTAGTAAACATGTTCAATTGAAGAAGCAAAAACTCAATTGAAAGAGGAAAAGTAGTAAACATGTTCAATTGAAGAAGGAAATTGGAAAGAGGAAATAAGTAGTACAAGCATGCCTCAATTGAAGAAGGAAACTGTTGTTAGCAATTGGAAAGAGGAAAGAAGTAGTAGAAGCATGTCTCAATTGAAGAAGGAAACTGTTGTTAGCAATTGGAAAGAGGAAAGAAGTAGTACAAGCATGTCTCAATTGAAGAAGAAAACTGTTGTTAGCAATTGGAAAGAGGAAAAAGAAGTAGTAGAAGCATGTCTCAATTGAAGAAGGAAAACTGTTGTTAGCAATTGGAAAGAGGAAAAAGTAAGCATGCCTCAATTGAAGAAGGAACTGTTGTTAGCAATTGGAAAGAGGAAAGAAGTAGTAAAGCATGTCTCAATTTGTTGTTAGCAATTGGAAAGGAAAAAGTAGTAGAAGCATGTCTCAATTGAAGAAGGAAACTGTTATAGCTTAATTGGAAAGAGGAAAGAAGTAGTAGAAGCATGTCTCAATTGAAGAAGGAAACTGTTGTTAGCAATTGAAAGAGGAAAGAAGTAGTAGAAGCATGTCTCCAATTGAAGAAGGAAACTGGTATTAGCAATTGGAAAGAAAGAAAAAAGAAGTAGTAGAAGCACGTCTCAATTGAAGAAGGAAACTGTTGTTAGCAATTGGAAAGAGGAAAGAAGTAGTAGGAAAGCATGTCTCAATTGAAGAAGGAAACTGTTGTTAGCAATTGGAAAGAGGAAAGAAGTAGTAGAAGCATGTCTCAATTGAAGAAAAAAAACTGTTGTTAGCAATTGGAAAGAGGAAAGAAGTAGAAGCATGTCTCAATTGAAGAAGGAAACTGTTGTTAGCAATTGGAAAGAGGAAAGAAGTAGTACAAGCATGCCTCAATTGAAGAAGAAAAAACTGTTGTTAACAATTGGAAAGAGGAAAGAAGAAGTAGAAGCATGTCCTCAATTGAAGAAGGAAACTGTTGTTAGCAATTGAAAGAGGAAAGAAGTAGTAGAAGCATGTCTCAATTGAAGAAGGAAACTGTTGTTAGCAATTGGAAAGAGGAAAGAAGTAGTAAAGCATGTCTCAATTGAAGAAGGAAACTGTTGTTAGCAATTGGAAAGAGGAAAAGAAGTAGTAAACATGTCTCAATTGAAGAAGGAAACTGTTGTTAGCAATTGGAAAGAGGAAAGAAGTAAAAGTGAAACTGTTGTCTCAATTGAAAGAAGGAAACATGCCTCAATTGAAGAAGGAAATTGTTAGCAATTGGAAAGAGGAAAGAAGTAGTACAAGCATGTCTCAATTGAAGAAGGAAACTGTTGTTAGCAATTGGAAAGAGGAAAGAAGTAGTAGAAGCATGTCTCAATTGAAGAAGGAAACTGTTGTTAGCAATTGGAAAGAGGAAAGAAGTAGTACAAGCATGTCTCAATTGAAGAAGGAAACTGTTGTTAGCAATTGGAAAGAGGAAAGAAGTAGTAGAAGCATGTCTCAATTGAAGAAGGAAACTGTTGTTAGCAATTGGAAAGAGGAAAGAAGTAGAACAAGCATGTCTCAATTGAAGAAGGAAACTGTTGTTAGCAATTGAAAAGAAGAAAGAAGTAGTAGAAGCCACGTCTCAATTGAAGAAGGAAACTGTTGTTAGCAATTAGTACAAGCATGTCTCAATGAAGAAGGAAACTGTTGTTAGCAATTGGAAAGAGGAAAGAAGTAGTACAAGCATGTCTCAATTGAAGAAGGAAACTGTTGTTAGCAATTGGAAGAGGAAAGAAGTAGTAGAAGCATGTCTCAATTGAAGAAGGAAACTGTTGTTAGCAATTGGAAAGAAAAAAGAAGAAAGACATGTCTCAATTGAAGAAGGAAAAGTGAAAGAAGAAAGAAGTAGTACAAGCATGTCTCAATTGAAGAAGGAAACTGTTGTTAGCAATTGGAAAGAAAAAAAAGAAGTAGTAGAAGCATGTCTCAATTGAAGAAGGAAACTGTTGTTAGCAATTGGAAAGAGGAAAGAAGCATGTTCCAATTGAAGTAAAAGCAATTGGAAAGAGGAAAGAATGTCTCAATTGAAGAAGGAAAACTGTTGTTAGCAATTGGAAAGAGGAAAGAAGTAGTACAAGCATGTCTCAATTGAAGAAGGAAACTTTTGGAAAGAGGAAAGAAGTTATGTCTCAATTGGAAAAGCAATTGGAAAGAGGAAAGAAGTAGAAGCATGTCTCAATTGAAGAAAAAAAACTGTTGTTAGCAATTGGAAAGAGGAAAAGAAGTGGTACAAGCATGTCTCAATTGAAGAAGGAAACTGTTGTTAGCAATTGGAAAGAGGAAAGTACAAGCAAATTGAAGAAGGAAAACTGTTGTTAGTAATTGAAAGAAGAGAGAAAGCATGTCTCAATTGAAGAAGGAAACTGTTGTTAGCAATTGGAAAGAGGAAAGAATTGTCTCTCAATTGAAGAAAAACTGTTGTTAGCAATTGGAAAGAGGAAAGAAGTAGTACAAGCATGTCTCAATTGAAGAAGGAAACTGTTGTTAGCAATTGGAAAGAGGAAAGAAGTAGTAGAAGCATGTCTCAATTGAAGAAAGGAAAACTGTTGTTAGCAATTGGAAAGAGGAAAGAAGTAGTAGAAGCATGTCTCAATTGAAGAAGGAAACTGTTGTTAGCAATTGGAAAGAGGAAAGAAGTAGTACAAACATGTCTCAATTGAAGAAGGAAACTGTTGTTAGCAATTGAAAGAGAGAAAGAATAGTAGAAGCATGTCTCAATTGAAGAAGAAACTTTGTTTGAAGTTAGAAGCATGCCCTCAATTGGAAAAGCAAGAAAGAAGTAGGTAAACATGTCTCAATTGAAGAAGGAAACTGTTGTTAAAATTGGAAAGAGGAAAAGAAGTAGTACAAGCATGTCTCAATTGAAGAAGAAAAACTGTTGTTAGCAATGGAAAGAGGAAAGAATTAGAAGCAAATTGAAGAAGGAAACTGTTGTTAGCAATTGGAAAAGCAGGAAATTGAAGAAGTAAACTGTTGTTAGCAATTGAAAATAATGTCTCAATTGAAGAAGAAAACTGTTGTTAAGTAAATTGGAAAGAGGAAAGAAGTAGTACAACATGTCCAATTGAAGAAGGAAACTGTTGTTAGCAATTGGAAAGAGGAAAAGAAGTAGTAGAAGCATGTCTCAATTGAGAGAAAGAAAGCAAACATGAAGGAAACTGTTGTTAGCAATTGGAAAGAGGAAAGAAGTAGTACAAACATGTCTCAATTGAAGAAGAAAACTGTTATTATAATTGGAAAAGAGGAAAAGATTAGTACAAGCATGTCTCAATTGAAGAAGGAACTGTTGTTAGCAATTGGAAAGAGGAAAGAAGTAGTAGAAGCATGTCTCAATTGAAAAGGAAACTGTTGTTAGCAATTGAAAGAGGAAAGAAGTAGTACAAGCATGTCTCAATTGAAGAAGGAAACTGTTGTTAGCAATTGGAAAGAGGAAAGAAGTAGTACAAGCATGTCTCAATTGGAAGAAGTGCAATAAAAAGTAGTAGAAGAAGGTCTCACCTAGAAGAAGGAAGCTGTTGTTAGCAATTGGAAAGAGGAAAGAAGTAGTACAAGCATGTCTCAATTGAAGAAGGAAACTGTTGTTAGCAATTGGAAAGAGGAAAGAAGTAGTAGAAGCATGTCTCAATTGAAGAAGGAAACTGTTGTTAGCAATTGGAAAGAGGAAAGAAGTAGTACAAGCATGTCTCAATTGAAGAAGGAAACTGTTGTTAGCAATTGGAAAGAGGAAAGAAGTAGTAGAAGCATGTGAAGAAGGAAACTGTTGTTAGCAATTGGAAAGAGGAAAGAAGTAGTGAAGAAGAAAACTGTCTCAATTGAAGAAGGAAAGAAGTTGTTAGCAATGAAGAAGTAAAGAGGAAAGAAGTACAAGCATGTCCCAATTGAAGAATGAAACTGTTAGTAATTACAAGCATGTCTCAATTGAAGAAGGAAACTGTTGTTAGCAATTGGAAAGGGAAAGAAGTTAGTAGAAGCATGTCTCAATTGAAGAAGGAAACTGTTGTTAGCAATTGGAAAGAGAAAAAGAAGTAGTAGAAGCATGTCTCAATTGAAGAAGAAAAACTGTTGTTAGCAATTGGAAAGAGGAAAAAGTACAAGCATGTCTCAAAGAAGGAAACTGTTGTAGCAATTGGAAAAGATGGGAAAGAATTGGAAAGAAATGTCTCAATTGAAGAAGGAAACTGTTGTTAGCAATTGGAAAGAGGAAAGAAGTAGTACAAGCATGTCTCAATTGAAGAAGGAAACTGTTGTTAGCAATTGGAAAGAGGAAAGAAGTAGTAGAAGCATGTCTCAATGAAGAAGGAAACCGTTGTTAGCAATTGGAAAGAGGAAAGTAGTACAAACATGTCTCAATTGAAGAAGGAAACTGTTGTTAGCAATTGGAAAAGAGGAAAGAAGTAGTACAAGCATGTCTCCAATTGAAGAAGGAAACTGTTGTTAGCAATTGGAAAGAGGAAAGAATAGTACAAGCATGTCTCAATTGAAGAAGGAAACTGTTGTTAGCAATTGGAAAAGAGGAAAGAAGTAGTACAAGCATGTCTCAATTGAAGAAGGAAACTGTTGTTAGCAATTGAAAGAGGAAAAAGAGTACAAGCATGTCTCAATTGAAGAAGGAAACTGTTGTTAGCAATTGGAAAGAGGAAAGAAGTAGTACAAGCATGTCTCAATTGAAGAAGGAAACTGTTGTTAGCAATTGGAAAAGAGGAAAGAAGTAGTACAAGCATGTCTCAATTGAAGAAGGAAACTGTTGTTAGCAATTGAAAGAGGAAAAGAAGTAGTACAAGCATGTCTCAATTGAAGAAGGAAACTGTTGTTAGCAATTGTAGAAAGAGGAAGAAAAAGTTAGCAATTGGAAAGAGGAAAGAAAGCAGGCTGTCTCAATTGAAGAAGAAAACTGTTGTTAGCAATTGGAAAGAGGAAAGAAGTAGTACAAGCTAATGTCTCAATTGAAGAAGGAAACTGTTGTTAGCAATTGGAAGAGGAAAGAAGTAAGCATGTCTCAATTGAAGAAGGAAACTGTTGTTAGCAATTGGGAAAGAGGAAAGAAGTAGTACAACAAGCAATTGAAGAAGGAACCGTTGTTAGCTCAATGTTGACTGAAGAAGGAAACTGTTGTTTATGCAATTGGAAAGAGGAAAGAAGTAGTACAAGCATGTCTCAATGAAGAAGGAAACTGTTGTTAGCAATTGGAAAGAGGAAAGAAGTAGTACAAGCATGTCTCAATTGAAGAAGGAAACTGTTTAGCAATTGGAAAGAGGAAAGAACTAGTAAGTATGTCTTCAATTGAAGAAGGAAACTGTTGTTAGCAATTGGAAAGAGGAAAGAAGTAGTACAAGCATGTCTCAATTGAAGAAGGAAACTGTTGTTAGCAATTGGAAAAGAGGAAAGAAAGTACAAGCTGTCTCAATTAAAGAAGGAAACTGTTGTTAGCAATTGGAAAGAGGAAAGAAGTAGTAGAAGCATGTCTCAATTGAAGAAGAAACTGTTGTTAGCAATTGGAAAGAGGAAAGAAGTAGTACAAGCATGTCTCAATTGAAGAAGGAAACTGTTGTTAATTGGAAAGAGGAAAGAAGTAGTACAAAGCATGTCTCAATTGAAGAAGGAAACTGTTGTTAGCAATTGGAAAGAGGAAAGAAGTAGTACAAGCATGTCTCAATTGAAGAAGGAAACTGTTGTTAGCAAGAGGAAAGAATAGAAAGCATGTCTCACTGAAGAATGTCAGCAATTGGAAAGAGGAAAGAAGTAGTACAAGCATGTCTCAATTGAAGAAGAAACTGTTGTTAGCAATTGGAAAGAGGAAAGAAGTAGTACAAGCATGTCCTTCAATTGAAGCTGTCCTTGCAATTGGAAAAGAGGAAAGAAGTAGTACAAGCATGTCTCAATTAAAAGAAGGAAACTGTTGTTAGAGGGGAAAGAAGAAAGTAGAAGCATGTCTCAATTGAAGAAGGAAACTGTTGTTAGCAATTGGAAAGATGGAAAGAGTAGTACAAGCATGTCTCAATTGAAGAAGGAAACTGTTGTTAGCAAATTGGAAAGAGGAAAGAAGTACAAAGCTTACGTCTCAATTGAAGAAGGAACTGTTGTTAGCAATTGTAAAAAGAGGAAAGAAGTAGTAGAAGCATGTTCCAATTGAAGAAGAAAACTGTTGTTAGCAATTGGAAAGAGAAAGAAGTAGACAAGCATGTCTCAATTGAAGAAGGAGACTGTTCTTAGCAATTGGAAAGAGGAAAGAACTAGCAAGCATGTCAATTCAAATTGAAGAAGGAAACTGTTGTTAGTAAATTGGAAAGAGGAAAGAAGTAGTACAAGCATGTCTCCAATTGAAGAAGGAAACTGTTCTAGCAATTGGAAAGAGAAAAGAACTAGTACAAGCATGTCTCAATTGAAGAAGGAAACTGTTGTTAGCAATTGGAAAGAGGAAAGAAAGTAGTAGAAGGAAATGTTCTCAATTGGAAGAAGGGTTGAAAGAAGAAACTGTCTCAATTGAAGAAGGAAAGACTGTTCTTAGCAATTGGAAAGAGGAAAGAATAGTACAAAGCATGTCTCAATTGAAGAAGGAAACTGTTGTTAGCAATTGGAAAGAGGAAAGAAGTAGTACAAGCATGTCTCAATTGAAGAAGGAAACTGTTGTTAGTAATTGAAAAGAGGAGAAAGTACAAGCATGTCTCAATTAAAGAAGGAAACTGTTCCTACCAATTGAAAAGAAAGGAAAGCTTACGTCTCAATTGAAGAAGGAAACTGTTGTTAGGAAAAAAAAGAAGAAGCATGTCTCAATAAGAAACTGTTGTTAGCAATTGAAAAGGAAGAAGAAAGCATGTCTCAATTGAAGAAGCTGAAACTGTAGCAATTGGAAAGAGGAAAGAAGTAGTACAAGCATGTCTCAATTGAAGAAGGAAACTGTTGTTAGCAATTGGAAAGAGGAAAAAAGAAGCATGTCTCAATTGAAGAAGAAACTGTTCTTAGCAATTGGAAAGAGGAAGAAGTAGTACCATGTTCAAATTGAAGAAGAAAAACTTTGTTAGCTATTGGAAAAGGAAGTAGTGAATCATGTCTCAATTGAAGAAGGAAACTGTTGTTAGTAATTGGAAAGAGAGGAAAGAAGTAGTAGAAGCATGTCTCAATTGAAGAAGAAAACTGTTGTTAGAAAGAGGAAAGAAGTAGTACAAGCATGTCTCAATTGAAGAAGGAAATGTTCTTAGCAATTGGAAAGAGGAAAAGTACAACCATGTCTCAATTGAAGAAGGAAACTGTTGTTAGCAATTGGAAAAGAGGAAAAAGAAGTAGTACAAGCATGTCTCAATTGAAGAAGAAGGAAACTGTTGTTAGCAATTGGAAAGAGGAAAGAAGAAAATGTCTCAATTGAAGAAGGAAACTGTTGTTAATGGAAAGAGAAAAAGAAGTCATGTCAATTGAAGAAGGAAACTGTTGTTAGCAATTGGAAAGAGGAAAGAAGTAGTACAAGCATTGAAGAAGGAAAAAGCAATTGGAAAAGGAAAGAAGTACAAAGCATGTCTCAATTGAAGAAGGAAACTGTTGTTAGCAATTGGAAAGAGGAAAGAAGTAGTACAAGCATGTCTCAATTGAATGTCTCAATTGAAAAGGAAAGAAGTAGAAGCATGTTCAATTGAAAGAAGGAAATTGGAAAAGCAATTGGAAAGAGGAAAGAAGTAGTACAAAGCATGTCTCAATTGAAGAAAAAACTGTTGTTAGCAATTGGAAAGAGAAAAGAAGTAGTACAAGCATGTCTCAATTGAAGAAGGAAACTGTTGTTAGCAATTGGAAAGAGGAAAGAAAGGAGTAGTACAAGCACAACTCAATTGAAGAAGGAAACTGTTGTTCCAATTGAAAGAGGAAAGAAGTAGTACAAGCATGTCTCAGTTGAAGAAGGAAACTGTTAGCAATTGAAAAGAGGAAAGAAGTAGTACAAGCATGTCTCAATTGAAGAAGGAAACTGTTGTTAGCAATTGGAAAGAGGAAAGAAGCAAAGCACAACCAATTGAAAGCATGTCTCAATTGAAAGAAAGGCCTGAAGAAGGAAACTATTTGTTAGCAATTGGAAGAGGAAAGATGTAGTAGAAGCAATTTAAGCATGTCTCATGTCTCAGTTGAAGAAGGAAACTGTTGTTAGCAATTGGAAAGAGGAAAAAGTAGTACAAAGCATGTCTCAGTTGAAGAAGGAACTGTTGTTTGGAAAAGGAAAGAAGTAGTAAACATGTCTCAGTGAAGAAGGAACTGTTACTTAATTGGAAAGAGGAAAGAAGTAGTACAAGCATGTCTCAATTGAAGAAGGAAACTATTTATTAATTAAAAAGAGGAAAGAAGTAGTAGAAGCATGTCTCAATTGAAGAAGGAAACTGTTGTAGCAATTGGAAGAGGAAAGAAGTAGTACAAGCATGTCTCAATTGAAGAAGGAAACTGTTCTAGCAATTGGAAAGAGGAAAGAAGTAGTACAAGCATGTCTCAATTGAAGAAGGAAACTGTTGTTAGCAATTGGAAAGAGAAAAGAAATAGTAGAAGCATGTCTCTCAATTGAAGAAGGAAACTGTTGTTAGCAATTGGAAAGAGAAAAAGAAGTAGTAGAAGCATGTCTCAATTGAAGAAGGAAACTGTTGTTAGCAATTGGAAAGCATGGAGAAAGTAGTGGAAAGAGGAAACAAGCATGTCTCAATTGAAGAAGGAAACTGTTGTTAGCAATTGGAAAAGAGGAAAAAGAAGTAGTAGAAGTAAACATGTCTCAATTGAAGAAGGAAACTGTTGTTAGCAATTGGAAAAGAGGAAAGAAGTAGTAGAAGCATGTCTCAATTGAAGAAGGAAACTGTTGTTAGCAATTGGAAAGAGGAAAGAAGTAGTACAAAGCATGTCTCCAATTGAAGAAGGAAACTGTTGTTAGCAATTGAAAAAAATGTCTCAATTGAAGAAGGAAACTGTTGTTAGCAATTGGAAAGAGGAAAGAAGTAGTAAAGCATGTCTCAATTGAAGAAGGAAACTGTTGTTAGCAATTGGAAAGAGGAAAGAAGTAGTACAAGCATGTCTCAATTGAAGAAGGAAAACTGCAATTGGAAAGAGGAAAGAAGTTATGTCTCAATTGGAAGAAGAGGAAAATTGGAAAGAGGAAAGAAGTAAAGCATGTCTCAATTGAAGAAGGAAACTGTTGTTAGCAATTGGAAAGAGGAAAAAGTAGTAGAAGCATGTCTCAATTGAAGAAGGAAACTGTTGTTAACAATTGGAAAGAGGAAAGAATAGTACAAGCATGTCTCAATTGAAGAAGGAAACTAGCAATTTAGTTACTCTGAAGAAGGAAATTGGAAAAGAGGAAAGAAGTAGTACAAGCATGTCTCAATTGAAGAAGGAAACTGTTGTTAGCAATTGGAAAGAGGAAAGAAGTAGTACAAGCATGTCTCAATTGAAGAAGGAAACTGTTGTTAGCAATTGGAAAGAGGAAAGAAAAAGGTACAAAGCATGTCTCAATTGAAGAAGGAAACTTTGTTAGCAATTGGAAAAGAGGAAAGAAGTAGTACAAGCATGTCTCAATTGAAGAAGGAAACTGTTGTTAGCAATTGGAAAGAAAGAAGTAGTAAAAGATGTCTCAATTGAAAAGGGAAACTGTCTCAATTGAAGGAAGGAAAGTATGTCTCAATTGTTGTTAAATTGGAAAGAGGAAAAGAAGTAGTGGAAATGTCTCAATTGAAGAAGGAAACTGTTGTTAAATTGAAAAAGAGGAAAGAAGTAGTACAAGCATGTCTCAATTGAAGAAGGAAACTGTTGTTAGCAATTGGAAAGAGGAAAGAAAGTACAAGCATGTCTCAATTGAAGAAGGAAACTGTTGTTAGCAATTGGAAAGAGGAAAGAAGTAGTACAAGCATGTCTCAATTGAAGAAGGAAACTGTTGTTAGCAATTGGAAAGAGGAAAGAAGTAGTACATGTGTCTCAATTGAAGAAGGAAACTGTTGTTAGCAATTGGAAAGAGGAAAGAAGTAGTACAAGCATGTCTCAATTGAAGAAGGAAACTGTTGTTAGCAATTGGAAAGAGGAAAGAAGTAGTAGAAGCATGTGAAGAAGGAAACTGTTGTTAGCAATTGAAAGAGGAGAAGCAGTACAATTCAATTGAAGAAGGAAACTGTTGTTAGCAATTGGAAAGAGGAAAGAAGTAGTACAAGCATGTCTCAATTGAAGAAGGAAACTGTTGTTAGCAATTGGAAAGAGGAAAGAAGTAGTACAAGCATGTCTCAATTGAAGAAGGAAACTGTTGTTAGCAATTGGAAAGAGGAAAGAAGTAGTACAAGCATGTCTCAATTGAAGAAGGAAACTGTTGTTAGCAATTGTAGAAAGAGGAAAGAAAGTAGCAATTGGAAAGAGGAAACAAGCATGTCTCAATTGAAGAAGAAAACCGTTGTTAGCAATTGGAAAGAGGAAAGAAGTAGTACAAGTCTCAATTGGAAGAAGGAAATGTCTCTATTGTCTCAATTGAAGAAGGAAACTGTTGTTAGCAATTGGAAAGAGGAAAGAAGTAGTACAAGCATGTCTCAATTGAAGAAGGAGACTGTGAAGAAGGAAATTGGAAAGAGGAAAGAAGAAGAAAACAAGCATGTAGTACCAATTGAAGAAGGAAACTGTTGTTAGCAATTAGTATGTCTCAATTGAAGAAGGAAAGAGGGAAAGAAGAAGTAGAAGCATAGAAAATTGAAGAAGGAAACTGTTGTCTCAATTGGAAAGAGGAAAAGAAGTAGTACAAGCATGTCTCAATTGAAGAAAGGAAACTGTTGTTAGCAATTGGAAAAGAGGAAAGAAGTAGTAGAAGCATGTCTCAATTGAAGAAGAAGGAAACTGTTGTTAGCAATTGGAAAGAGGAAAGAAGAAGTAGAAGCATGTCTCAATTGAAGAAGGAAAGAAGGAAAAACTGTTGTTGAAGAAGGAAACTGTTAGCAATTGGAAAGAGGAAGAAGTGGTACAAGCATGTCTCAATTGAAGAAGGAAACTGTTCTAGCAATTGGAAAGGAAAAGTAGGAAACTGTCTCAATTGAAGAAGAAAACTGTTGTTAGCAATTGGAAAGAGGAAAGAAGTAGTACAAGCATGTCTCAATTGAAGAAGGAAAACTGTTGTTAGCACAACTTCAATTGGAAAGAGGAAAGAAGTAGTACAAGCATGTCTCAAATTAAAGAAGGAAACTGTTGTTAATTGGAAAGAGGAAAGAAGAAATGCTCTAAAGAAGGAAACTGTTGTTAGCAATTGGAAAGAGAAAAGAAGTAGTACAAGCATGTCTCAATTGAAGAAGGAAATGTCTTCAATTGGGAAAGAGGAAAGAAGTAAAGTCTCCAATTGAAGAAGGAAACTGTTGTTAGCAATTGGAAAAGAGGAAAGAAGTAGTACAAGCATGTCTCAATTGAAGAAGGAAACTGTTGTTAGCAATTGGAAAGAGGGGAAAGAAGAAGACAAACCATGTCTCCTAATTGAAGAAGGAAACTGTTGTTAGCAAATTGGAAAGAGGAAAGAACTAGTACAAGCATGTCTCAATTGAAGAAGGAAACTGCTGTTAGCAATTGGAAAAAGAGGAAAGAAGTAGTAGAAGCATGTCTCTAAATTGAAGAAGGAAACTGTTCTAGCAATTGAAAGAGAAGAACTATACAAGCATGTCTCAATTGAAGAAGGAAACTGTTGTTAGCAATGGAAAGAGGAAAAAGTAGTAGAAGCATGTCTCAATTGAAGAAGGAAACTGTTGTTAGCAATTGGAAAGAGGGAAAGAAGTAGAAATGGCTACGTCTCAATTGAAGAAGGCTGAAACTGTTGTTAGCAATTGGAAAGAGGAAAGAATAGTACAAGTATGTCTCAATTGAAGAAGGAAAACTGTTGTTAGCAATTGGAAAGAGGAAAGAACAAGCATGTCTCAATTGAAGAAGGAAACTGTTGTTAGTAATTGAAAGAGGAGAAGTAGTACAAGCATGTCTCAATTAAAGAAGTTAACTGTTGCTAGCAATTGGAAAGAGGAAAGAAGTAGAAGCTTACGTCTCAATTGAAGAAGGAAACTGTTGTTAGCAATTGAAAAGTGAAAAGAAGTAGAAGCATGTCTCAATTAGTATGGAAACTGTTGTTAGCAATTGAAAGAGGAAAGAAGCAGAAGCATGTCTAATTGGAAGAAGGAAACTGTTATAGCAATTGAAAGAGGAAAGAAGTAGTACAAGCATGTCTCAGTTGAAGAAGGAAACTGTTGTTAGCAATTGGAAAAGAGGAAAGAAGTAGTACAAGCATGTCTCAATTGAAGAAGGTGTCTGTTCTCAGCAATTGGAAAGAGGAAGAAGTAGTACAAGCATGTCTCAAATTGAAGAAGAAAAACTGTTGTTAGCTATTGGAAAGAGGAAAAGTTAGAAGCATGTCTCAATTGAAGAAGGAAACCGTTGTTAGTAATTGGAAAGAAAGAAGTAGTAGAAGCATGTCTCAATTGAAGAAGGAAACTGTTGTTAGCAATTGAAAAGAAGTGAAGCATGTCTCAGTTGAAGAATGAAATAACAATTGGAAAAGGAAGTAGAAGTACAACCATGTCTCAGTTGAAGAAGAAGGTTGTTAGCAATTGGAAAGAGGAAAGAAGTAGTACAAGCATGTCTCAATCGAAGAAGAAAAAGTAATTGAAAGAGGAAAGAAGTAAAACAAGCATGTCTCAATTTGAAGAAGGAAACTGTCTCTCAATTGGAAAGAGGAAAGAAGTAGTAGAAGCATGTCTCAATTGAAGAAGGAAACTGTTGTTAGCAATTGGAAAGAGGAAATAGCAAGCATGTCTCAATTGAAGAAGGAAAGTTAGCAATTGTAAAGAGGAAAGTTAGTACAAGCATGTCTCAATTGAAGAAGGAAACTGTTGTTAGCAATTGGAAAGAGGAAAGAAGTAGTACAAGCATGTCTCAATTGAAGAAGGAAACTGTTGTTAGCAATTGGAAAGAGGAAAAGCAAGCATGTCCAATCAGAAGGAAGATGCCAGTAAATTGGAAGAGGAAAGAAGTAGTACAAGCATGTCTCAGTTGAAGAAGGAAAACTAGTTGTTACAAGCATGTCTCAATTGAAGAAGGAAATTGTTGTTAGTAATTGAAAGAGGAGAAGTGGTACAACATGTCTCAATTGAAGAAGGAAACTGTTGTTAGCAATTGGAAAAGAGGAAAGAAGTGAGTACAAGCATGTCTCCAATTGAAGAAGGGAAACTGTTCTAGCAATTGGAAGGAGGAAAGAAGTAGTACAAGCATGTCTCAATTGAAGAAGGAAACTGTTGTTAGCAATTGGAAAGAGGAAAGAAGTAGTACAAGCAATTGAAGAAGGAAATGTGTTCAATTGAAAGAGGAAAGAAGTAGTACAAGCATGTCTCAGTTATTCTTAGCAATTGAAAAGAGGAAAGAAGTAATACAAGCATGTCTCAATTGAAGAAGGAAACTGTTGTTAGCAATTGGAAAAGGAAAGAAGTAGCACAACCAATTGAAGAAGGCATGTCTCAATTGAAGAATGTTCTGCCTGAAGAAGGAAACTGTTGTTAGCAATTGGAAAGAGGAAAGATGTAGTACAAGCATGTCTCCAATTGAAGAAGGAAACTATCAAAAGGCAATTGAAAGAGGAAAGAAGTGAAGTAGAATCATGTCTCAGTTGAAGAAGGAAACTGTTGTTAGCAATTGGAAAGAGGAAAAAGTAGTACAAGCACATGTCTCAGTTGAAGAAGGAAGAAGAAAAAACTGTTGTTAGCAATTGGAAAGAGGAAAGAAGTAGTACAAGCATGTCTCAATTGGAAGAAGGAAACTGTTGTTAGCAATTGGAAAAGAGGAAAGAAGTAGTAGAAGCATGTCTCATTGAAGAAGGAAACTGTTTACTGAAAGAGGAAAGAAGTAATTGGAAAAGAAGGAAACTGTTCTAGTAATTGTAAAAGAGGAAAGAAGTACAAACATGTCTCAATTGAAGAAGGAAACTATTTGTTAGCAATTGGAAAGAGGAAAGAAGTAGTACAAGCATGTCTCAATTGAAGAAGGAAACTGTTGTTAGTAATTGGAAAAGAGAAGAAGTACAAGCATGTCTCAATTGAAGAAAGGAAACTGTTGTTAGATTGGAAGGGAAAATGGTACAAGCGTGTCTCAGTTATTGAAGAGAGAGGCTGTTGTTGGCAATTGGAAGAGGAAGAAGTGAAGTAGTACAAGCATGTCTCAATTGAAGAAGGAAAACTGTTGTTGAAGTAAATTGTAGTACAAGCATGTCTCAAGAAGAAGGAAAAGCAATTGGAAAGAGGAAAGAAGTAGTACAAGCATGTCTCAATTGAAGAAGAAAATTTGTTAGCAATTGGAAAGAGGAAAGAAGTAGTACAAACATGTCTCGCTGTTGAATTGAAAGAGGGGAAACTGCCTCTAACGAAGAAGGAAGCTGGTTGTTAGCAATTAAAGGAAAAAGTAGTACAAGCATGTCTCAATTGTTAGGCCGGGAAAGGAAGCAATTGGAAAGAGGAAATAAGAAAATACACTGTTAGGAATTGTTAGCAATTGGAAAGAGGAAATAAGGCATGTCTCAATTGAAGAAGGAAACTGTTTTAGCACTGGAAAGAGGAAAGAAGCATACTACGTCTCAATTGAAGAAAAAACTGTTATTGAAGAAGGAAGCTGTTCTTAGCACCGCTGAAAGAGGAAAGAAGTAGTAGAAGCATGTCTCAATTGAAGAAGGAAAAAAGTACTGAAAGAGGAAATAATTACAAGCATGCCTCAATTGAAGAAAAAACTGTTCTAGCAATTGGAAAAGAGGAAAAGTGTAGAAGCATGTCTCAATTGAAGAAGGAAACTGTTGTTAGTAATTTGAAAGAGGGAAAGAAGTAGTGAATGGTCTCAATTGAAGAAGGAAACTGTTGTTAGCAATTGGAAAGAAAGAAGGAATTCATGTCTCAATTGAAGAAGGAAACTGTTGTTAGCAATTGGAAAAAGGAAAGAAGTAGTACAAGCATGTCTCAATTGAAGAAAAAAAACTGTTGTTATTAAAATTGTAGTAAGCATGTCTCAATTGAAGAAACTGCTGTTGTTAGCAATTGGAAGAAAAAAGAAGTAGTAGAAGCATGTCTCAATTGAAAGAAAGAGGAAAGAAACATGTCTCAATTGAAGAAGGAAACTGTTGTTAGCAATTGAAAGAGGAAAAAGAAGTAAAGCATGTCTCAATTGAAGAAGGAACTGTTGTTACAATTGGAAAGAGGAAAGAAGTAGCATGTCTCAATTGAAGAAGGAAACTGTTGTTAGCAATTGGAAAGAGGAAAGAAGTAAAAGCATGTCTGTTGAAGAAAAAACTGTTGTTAGCAATTGGAAAGAGGAAAGAAGTAGTCTCCAATTGAAGAAGGAACTGTTGTTAGCAATTGGAAGAGGAAAGAAGTAGTACAAGCACATGTCTCTGTTGAAGCACTGGAAAGAGGCTGTTGAAGAAGGGATGTCTCAATTGAAGAAGGGAACTACAGCAGCAATTGGAAAGAGGGAAATAAGTAGCATACATGTCTCAATTGAAGAAGGAACTGTTGTTAGCAATTGGAAAGAGGAAAGAAGTAGGCGCTACGTCTCAATTGAAGAAGGAAACTGTTGTTAGCAATTGGAAGAGGAAATAAGTAGTACAAGCATGCCTCAATTGAAGAAGAAACTTTGGAAAGAGGAAAGTTACGTCTCAATTGAAGAAGAAGCCAAGTTGTTAGCAATTGGAAAGAGGGAAAATAAGTAGTAAAACATGTCTCAATTGAAGAAGGAAACTTTTATTAGCAATTGGAAAGAGGAAAGAAGTAGTACAAGCATGTATCAATTGAAGAAGGAAACTCAATTGAAAAGGAAAAGAAATAGAACTATTTCCAATGGGAAAGTACTGGAAAGAGGTGGTATAAACATGTCTCAATTGAAGAAGGAAACTGTTGTTAGCAATTGGAAAGAGGAAAGAAGTAGTAGAAGCATGTCTCAATTGAAGAAGGAAACTGTTGTTATTGGAAAAGAAAGAATAAACTGAAGCATGTCTCAATTGGAAGAAGGAAACTGTTACAGTAATTGGAAAGAGGAAATGTCTCAATTGTCCAATTGAAAAACTATTTAGTTAGCAATTGGAAAGAGGAAAGAAGTAGTAGAAGCATGTCTCAATTGAAGAAGGAAACTGTTGTTAGCAATTGGAAAGAGGAAAAGTAGTAGAAGCATGTCTCAATTGTTAGAAGGAAACTGTTGTTAGCAAATTGGAAAGAGGAAAGAAGAAAGGAAAAGTTCTCAATTGAAGAAGGAAACTGTTCTTAGTAAATTTGAAAGAGGCAAAGAAAGTAGAAAGTTCCACTCCAGCAGAAATGTTGTTAGCAATTGAAAGAGGAAAGAAGTAGTACAAGCATGTCTCAATTGAAGAAGGAAACTGTTGTTGTAATTGGAAAGAGGAAAGAAAATAGAAGCAGTCTCAATTGAAGAAAAGCTGTTGTTAGCAATTGGAAAGAGGAAAACAAGTAGTACAAATATGTCTCAATTGAAGAAGAAACTATTGTTAAAGTAATTGGAAAGAGGAAAGAAGTAGTAGAAGCATGTCTCAATTGAAGAAGGAAACTGTTGTTAGCAATTGGAAAAGAGGAAAAGAAGTAGTAGAAGCATGTCTCAATTGAAGAAGGAAACTGTTGTTAGCAATTGGAAAGGAGGAGAAGTAGTAGAAGCATGTCTCAATTGAAGAAGGAAACTGTTGTTAGCATTTGGAAAGAATAAATAAGTAGTACAAGCGTGCCTCAATTGAAGAAGGAAACTGTTGTTAGCAATTGGAAGAGGAAAAGAAGTAGGTAGAAGCATGTCTCAATTGAAGAAGGCATGTTGTTCCAATTGAAATAAGTAGTACAAACTGCCTCATTTAGCATTTGAAAAGAGGAAAGAAGTAGTAGAAGCATGTCTCACTGAAGAAGGAAACCTCAATTGGAAAAGGTGAAAGTAGCTAATGTTCAATTGATAAAACAATTGTTCAATTAGGCAATTGGAAAGAGGAAAGAAGTATAGAAGCATGTAATTGAAGAAGGAAACTGTTGTTCCAATTGAAAGAGGAAAGAACTGTTGAACATGTCTCAATTGGAAACTGTTGAGCAAGGAAAGGAAAAGAAGTAGTAGAAGCATGTCTCAAAGAAATGTTCTCAGTATTGAAGAGAAGAAAACTTCAATTGAAGAAGGAAACTGTTGTTAGCAATTGGAAAGAGGGAAAGAAGGAAAATGGTACTACGTCTCAATTCAAAGAAGGAAACTGTTGTTAGCAATTGGAAAGAGGAAAAAGTAGGTACAAACATATCTCAATTGAAGAAGGAAACTGTTGTTAGCAATTGGAAAGAGGAAAGAAGTAGTAGAAGCATGTCTCCAATTGAAGAAGGAAACTGTTTATTAGCAATTGGAAAGAGGAAAGAAGTAGTAGAAGCATGTCTCAATTGAAGAAGGAAGCTGTTGTTAGCATTTGAAAGAGGAAATAAGTAGTACAAACATGGATTGAAGAAGGAAACTGTTAGCAAATTGGAAAGTAAAAGTAGTATCTCAATTGAAGAAGGAAACTGTTGTTAGCAATTGGAAAGGGAAAGAAGTAGTAGAAGTACGTCTCAATTGAAGAAGTGAAACTGTTGTTAGCAATTGGAAGAGGAAAGAAGAAAAGTGCCATGTCTCAATTGAAGAAGGAAATATATAAATTGGAAAGAGGAAAGAAGTAGTAGAAGCATGTCTCAATTGAAGAAGGAAAATTGAAATTGGAAAGAGGAGAAGGTAGAAGCATGTTCTTGTTAATTGGAAGTAATTGGAAAGAGGAAAGAATAGTACAAGCATGTCTCAATTGAAGAAGGAAACTGTTGTTATTGGAAAGAGGAAAGAAGAGTAGAAAGTCTCAATTGAAGAAGGAAACTGTTGTTAGCAATTGGAAAGAGGAACAAGTAGCAAGCATGTCTCAATTGAAGAAGGAAACTACAGCAGTAACTGAAAGAGGAAAGAAGTAGTAGAAGCACGTCTCAATTGGAAAAAGTAATTGGAAACAAAAAAAGAAGTAGTAGAAGCATGTCTCAATTGAAGAAGGAAGCTGTTGTTAGCAATTGGAAAGAGGAAAAAGTAAATGGTATTGGAAGAAGGGCATAGTCTGAAAGAGGAAAGATAGTACAAGCATGTTATTGAAGAAAAAACTGTTGTTAGCAATTGGAAAAGGAAAGAAGAGCTGCTATGAAGAAGGAAACTGTTGTTAGTACTGGAAAGAGGAAAGAATAGCAAGCATGTCTCAATTGAAAGAAGAAAAGCAATTGGAAAGAGGAAAGAAGTAGTAGAAGTAATTTGAAGAAGGAAACTGTTGTTTTGGAAAGAGGAAAGCAATTGAAGAAGGAAAAGCAAATTGGAAAGAGAAAGAAGTAGTAGAAGCACAATTGAAGAAGGAAACTTTTGTTACAATAAGCATGCCTCAATTCGAAGAAAAAAACTGTTGTTAGCAATTGAAAGAGAGGAAAGAAGTAGTACAAGCATGCCTCAATTGAAGAAATTCTTAGCAATTGAAAGAGGAAAGATAGTACAAGCATGTCTCAATTGAAGAAGGAAACTGTTGTTGGAAAGAGAAAGAAGTAGTAGCTGTCTCAATTGAAGAAGGAAAGGCAATGAAGTAGTACAAGCATGTCTCTGAAGAAAACCAATTGGAAAGAGGAAAGGAACAAGCTTCCAGTTGTTAGCAATTGGAAGAGGAAAGAAGTAGTACAAGCATGTCTCTCAGGCAATTGGAAAGAGGAAAAGAAGTAGTAGAAGCATGTCCAATTGAAGATTTGTTAGCAATTGAAAGAGGAAAAGTAGTAGAAGCACGTCTCAATTGAAGAAGGAAACTGTTGTTGAATTGGAAAGAGAAAAAACTGTAGAAGCATGTCTCAATTGAAGAAGGAAACTTTGTTAGCAATTGGAAAGAGGAAACAATTGAAAGCATGTCTCAATTGAAGAAGGAAACTTTGTTAGCAATTTGAAAAAGGGAAAGAAGTAGTAGGAAGCATGTCTCCAATTGAAGAAGGAAACTTTTGTTAGCAATTGGAAAGAGGGAAAGAAGTAGGAAAGCATGTCTCACTGAAGAAGGAAACTGTTGTTAGCAATGGGAAAAGAGAAAGAAAAGAAGCATGTCTCATTTGCTGTTGTTAGCAATTGGAAAGAGGAAAAGAAGTAGTACAAGCATGTCTCAATTGAAGAAGGAAACTGTTGTTAGCAATTGGAAAGAGGAAAGAAGTAATGAAAGTATGTCTCAATTGAAGAAGAAAACTATTGTTAGCAATTGGAAAGGAAAGAAGTGTTATGTCTCAATTGAAGAAGGAAAAGCAATTGGAAAAGGAAAGAAGTAGTACAAACATGTCTCAATTCGAAGAAGGAAACTGTTGTTAGCAATTGGAAAAGGAAAGAAACTATTTCAGTTGAAGAAGAAAAATTGGAAAGAGGAAAAAGTAGTACAAGTATATCTCAATTGAAGGAAACTGTTGTTATTTGTAGAAGCATGTCTCAATTGAAAAAGGAAACTGTTGTTAGCAATTGGAAAAGGAGAAGTAGTAAAGCATGTCTCAATTGAAGAAGGAAACTGTTGTTAGCTATTGGAAAGAGGAAAGGAGAGTACAAGCATGTCTCAATTGAAGAAGGAAACTGTTATTAAATTGGAAAGAGAAAAGAAGGTAAAACATGTCTCAATTGAAGAAGGAAACTGTTGTTAGCAATTGGAAAGAGGAAATAAGTAGTACAAGCATGTCTCAATTGAAGAAGGAAACTGTTGTTAGCAATTGGAAAGAGGAAAGAGAAGTCCAATTGAAGAAGGAAACTGTTGTTAGCAATTGAAAGAGGAAAGAAAAATGTCTCAATTGAAGAAGGAAACTGTTAGTAAATTGAAAGAAGTAGAAGCATGTTCTTAGGGAAACTTGTTAGTAAAGAGGAAAAGTGCCTCAATTGAAGAGAAAAGTACAGAGGAAAGAAGCATGTCTCAATGGAAGAAGGAACTGTTGTTAGTAATTGGAAAAGCATGGAAAAGAAATGTTATAGTAAAGCATGTCTCAATTGAAGAAGAAACTGTTGTTAGCAATTGGAAAGGAAAGAAGTAGTACTAAGCATGTCTCAATTGAAAAGAGAGAAACTGTTATTATCCAACGAAAGAAGAAACCCTTTTGAAAGCATTGGAAAGAGGAAAGAATAGTAGAAGCATGTCTCAATTGAAGAAGGAAACTTGTTAACAATTGGAAGAGGAAAGAAGTAGTACAAGCATGTCTCAATTGAAGAAGGAAACTGAAAGTTAGCAATTGAAGAAGAAGGAAAAGAAAAGAAGTATGTCTCAATTGAAGAAGGAACTTTTGTTAGCAATTGGAAAGAGGAAAGAAGTAGTACAAGCATGTCTCAATTGAAGAAGGAACTGTTCTTAGCAATTGGAAAGAGGAAAGAAATGGTGAAGCATGTCTCAATTGAAGAAGGAGACTGTTCTAGTAATTGGAAAGAGGAGAATAGTACAAGTATGTCTCAATTGGAAACTGTTAGCAATTGAAAAGTAAAGAAAGTACAAGCATGTCTCAATTGAAGAAGGAAACTGTTGTTAGCACCTGAAAGAGGAAAGAAGTAGTACAAGCATGTCTCAATTGGAAGAAGGAAACTGTTGTTAGCAAGCATGTCTCTCTCAATTGAAGAAGGAAACTGTTGTTAGCAATTGGAAAGAGGGGAAAATAGTACAAGCATGTCTCAATTGAAGAAGGAAACTATTTGTTAGTAAATTGGAAAGAGGAAAGAAGTAGTACAAGCATGTCTCAAGTGAAGAAGGAGACTGTTCTATAATTTGGAAAGAGGAAAAGAATAGGGAAAGCATGTCTCAATTGAAGAAGGAAACTGTTGTTAGCAATTGGAAAGAGGAATGAAGTAGTACAAGCATGTCTCAATTGAAGAAGGAACTATTTGTTAGCAATTGGAAGAGGAAAGAACTAGTACAAGTAATGTCTCAATTGAAGAGAGGGAAACTGTTGTTAGCAATTGGAAAGAGGAAAAAAAGAAAAACAACATGTCCCAATTGAAGAAGGAAAACTGTTGTTAGCAATTGGAAAGAGGAAGAAGTAGTACAAGCATGTCTCAATTGAAGAAGAAAACTGTTGTTAGCAATTGGAAAGAGGAAAGAATGATACAAGCATGTCTCAATTGAAGAAGAAGGAAACTGTTGTTGTTGGAAAGAGGAAAAGTAGTAAAAGCAATTTGAAGAAGGAAACTGTTGTTAGCAATTGAAAGAGGAAGAAGTAGAAACTGTCTCAATTGAAACTGTTGTTAGCAATTGGAAAAGAAGAAAAGTGCCGTCTCAAATTGAAGAAGGAAACTGTTCTCAATTGAAAGAGGAAAGTAGTACAAGCATGTTCAATTGAAGAAGGAATTGCAATTGGAAAGAGTGAAAAGAAGTAGTAGGAATCATGTCTCAATTGAAGAAGGAAACTGTTGTTAGCAATTGGAAAGAGGAAAAAAGTACAAATGTCTCAATTGTAAAGTTGTTGTTAGCAAAGGGAGCATGTCTCAATTGAAAAAGACAGACAGGAGCAAGAAGACAGATAGAAGTGTGAAGGATTGCTATAAAGCTAACAACATTAAAAAAAGAGGAAAAAGTAGTAAAAAATGTCAGAAGAAGGAAATTGAGGACCACTATTTATGCAAGCATGTCCCAATTGAAACTGTTATAGCAATTGGAAAAGGAAAAGATTGGAAAGAATGTCTCAATTGAAGAAGGAAACTGTTGTTAGCAATTGAAAGAGGAATGATTTGAAGCATGTCTCAATTGAAGAAGGAAACTGTTCTTAGCAATTGGAAAGAGGAAAGAAGTTGTACAAGCATGTCTCAATTGAAGAAGGAAACTGTTGTTAGCAATTGGAAAGAGGAAAGAAAGTACATATGTCTCAAATGAAGAAGGAAACCGTTGACAGTAATTGAAATGAGGAAAGAATTAGACATGAAGCATCAATTGAAGAAGGAAGACTGTTTTAGCAATTGAAACAGGAACGAAGTCCAACTAGTACATTGAAGAAGGAAACTGTTGTTACAATTGAAAGAGGAAAAGAAGTAGTATAGCATGTTCAATATGAAGAAGGAAACTGTTGTTAGCAATATAGAAAGAGGAAAGAAGAGAGAGAAAGCATGTCTCAATTAAAGAAGTTAACTGTTGTTAAATTGAAAGAGGAAATAGTACAAGCATGTCTTTTGAAGAAGGAAAGGGCTGTTAGCAATTGGAAAGAGGAAAGAAGTATTAGGAAGCATGTTTTGAAGAAGGAAACTGTTGTTAGTATTGAAATAGGGGAAAGAAGGATATATATATATATCTCAATTGAAGAAGGAAACTGTTTTTAGAATTGATGAGAAGAAGTTCCAAAAGTGAAGAAGAAGGAAACATGTCTGCAATTGAGAGAGAAGGAAACTGTCTAGTTATATATGTATATATATATGGAAAGATAAAGAATATAGAAGCATGTCTCAATTGAAGAAGGAAACTGTTGTTAGCAATTGGAAAAAGAGGAAAGAAGGAAACAAGCATGTCTCAATTGAAGAAGGAAACTGTTGTTAGTAATTGGAAAGACAAAGGAAAGAATTCCGTTAGAAAATTCCAATCAAATTGAAGAAGGAAACTGTTGGAGCAAATGGAAAGAGGAAAAGTAGTACAAGCATGTCTCAATTGAAGAAGAAAACTGTTGTTAATAATTGGAAAGAATTATAGCATGTCTCAATTTGAAGAAGGAAACTGTTGTTTGTGAAAGAGGAAAAAAGTAGTAGAAGCATGTCTCAATTGAAGAAGAAACTGTTGTTAGCAATTGGAACTAGGAAAGAAGTAGTACAAACGTCTCAATTGAAGAAGGAAACTGTTCTAAAGTAAATTGGAAATGTCTCAATTGAAGAAGAAACTGTTGTTAGCAATTGGAAAGAGGAAAAAAGTATTTACAAGCAGTACAAGCATGTCTCTGAAAGAGGAAGTTTTTAAACTGTTCAATTAGGAAACTGGTTAGCAAGAGGAAAGAAGTGGTACAAGCATGTCTCAATTGAAGAAGGAATCTGTTGTTACTCATGGAAAGAGGAAAGAAGTAGGCCAAGCATGTCTCAATTGAAGAAGGAAACATTTAATTTTTTTACTGGAAAGAGGAAAAGAAGTAGTACAAGCACGTCTCAATTGAAGAAGGAAACTGTTGTTACAATTTAAAGAGAAAGAAGTCTGAAGCACAAGTCTCATTTAAAGAAGGAATCTGTTACCTCTAATTGGAAAGAGGAAAGAATCTGTTAAGCATGTCTCATTGAAGAAGGAATCTGTTAGCAATTGGAAATTTAATTTTTTTATTACAAGCATGTCTCAATTGAAGAAGGAAACTGTTACTAGTCAATTGAAAACTTTTTTATCTGGAAAGCATGTCTCAATTGAAGAAGGAAACTGTTGTTAGCAATTGGAAAGAGGAAAGAAGTAGTACAAGCATGTCTCAAGTTGAAGAAGGAAACTGTTCATTTAGCAATCAAAGGAGTAAAGAAGTTTAAGCATGTTCAATTGAAGAAGGAAACCGTTGTTAGCAATTGGAAAGAGGGAAAGAAATTATAAGCATGTCTCAATTGAAGAAGGAACTGTTGTTAGCAATTGGAAAGAGAAAGAAAGAAGTACAAGCTAATGTTCAGTTGAAGAAGGAAACTGTTCAATCCAACTCCTGTCGAACAAAGTCGACAATTGGAAAAGAAAGGAAAGAAGTAGTACAAGCATGTCTCAATTGAAGAAGGAAATGGTTGTTAGCAATTGGAAAGAGGAAAGAAGTCGTAATAAGCATGTCTCAATTGAAGAAGGAAACTGTTGAAAATACTGGAAAGAGGAAAGAAATATTCAGCTTATGTCTCAATTGAAGAAGGAAACTGTTGTTAGAATTGGAAAGAGGAAACATGCACGTCTCAATTGAAGAAGGAAATATTGTTATAATTGGAAAGAGGAAAGAAAAGTAGTACAAGCATGTCTCAATTGAAGAAGGAAACTGTTGTTAGCAATTGAAAGAGAAAAAGAAGTAGTACAAGCATGTCTCAGTTGAAGAAGGAAACTGTTGTTAGCAATTGGAAAGAGGAAAGAAGTAGTACAAGCATGTCTCAATTGAAGAAGGAAACTGTTGTTAGCAATTGAAAGAGGAAAGAAGTAGAAGCATGTCTCAATTGAAGAAGGAAACTGTTGTTAGCAATTGGAAAGAGGAAAGAATAGTATATATATATATATGGAAGAAGGAAACTGTTGTTAGCAATTGAAAGAGGAAAGAAGAACAAGTTCGCATCAGTTGAAGAAGGAAACTGTTCTAGTAATTGTAAAGAGGAAAAAAAGAAGTACAAGCATGTCTCAATTGAAGAAGGAAACTGTTGTTAGCAATTGGAAAGAGGAAAGAAGTAGTACAAGCATGTCTCAATTGAAGAAGGAAACTGTTGTTAGCAATTTGAAAGAGGAAAGTAGGTTTGAAGATTTCAAAACCGCAAACGAAATCAAGAGAAGGAGAAAAACAGAGGGTGAATAAAATTGAGATATTTGTGCAAATGGATTGGAAAACAGGCGCTACAAAGAGAAGTCATAAAACAGTAATTTGCGAAGATATATATATATATATATATATATATATATATATATATATAGAGAGAGAGAGAGAGAGAGAGAGAGAAAGAGAGAGATAGCTTTTCCCACCTAAAATGGTTAAAACGTTTGTGACATATACACCCTTGTACATATTAATTGAAACAAACGAATAATTCTATTATTATTTACTTTCTTCGTATTTTCCCAATGAAACATGACCCAGTGCAGATGTTAGTACTTCCTATGTCCATTCCACAAAGTCGTTCCTTGTAGATTGGCCACAAATTTTCGATTGGATTTAAATCAGGAGAGTTTCCGTGCCTTTTTATATTCCTTTGATTTTCTCACCGGTAATACTTGCCAGTGTCTTCGTGCAGCGTTACAATTTTCGTACGCTTCCTTGAATTAACGTCCATTGTAGACAGTGGCCGCAGGACAACTAACCGACAGTCGAGGCAATAGTGTCAGTGCGTGATGGGAATCTATTGCAATCACGGATGGCGCAATAATTTTCAAGGCCAAAAAAATGTCATCATACACCCCCAAAAATAGATTCATATTACTGCACACCACTGCAAATGACCTAATCTGAGGAAAAATAGAAAATTGATTACACCCTGTCACTTGAGGGTGTCTAAAACTGAGCGTATGGTGAAAGAAGGAAAACTAAATCGGTTGTTTCAATTAATTTTCACAAGGGTGTAATGTGGAAAGGAGATTTGGAGAATTTGACACAGCAGAGCAAAGCCGAAGCAACATGCTTGACAAGTAAATGGATCGAGGAACAGGCACTGTAAAGACAAAAAAAAAAGATGTCAGAAACGAGTCAGTGTTGTTGATACGAACCAAAGACAGGAAACTCTGGAAAACCTTAATCTGCCTAGATTTGACAAAATACTATAGAGAGAGACAGAGGCAATGACACAGAGAGAGAAATAGAGAGTGAGAGTGAGAGAGATAGAGGGGCAGTTGTATGTCGTAAGAATTTGGGTTTGGGAGTAACATTTATGCAAACTTGCGGGGTTCTATCTTGTTTACAGGGGTAATATTTGTATGGAATAATTTATCACCGAATGTTATTTTTAATCTGTCTCTCGTGGTTGATAGGAAAGTTACAGAAGTCTGCTTGTCGTCATGATAAATGCATCTTGTCACTCTAATGATTTATTTGTATAGATTTCTATATCAGGCATATGTCATTTCCCTCATAGATGTATATATGAATCATATATATATATATATATATATATATATATATATATATATATATATATATATATATCAAGGGAAGAGGTTATAGTAGTTCCAACGAGAGAAAAGTGTGTATATTAAAAGAAGAGAGAAACCGCAAACGTTTTTGCTTGTAATGTGGATTTTTTTTAAAAATATATCATGCTTTATTTTCCATAATTTTGCTAATTCTTAATATTTTTAGACACCCGCATTTACATAGATGAAAACAGGAAACTACAAACGGCATTACACACTAAAATCACCGACACCCACAACTATCTACACTTTAAGTCTTCCCACCCTAAACACCTCAAAGAGAACCTTCCCTATTCACAAGCACTTAGACTCAGAAGGATATGTTCCAACAATGAAGAATTAAATAAACACATTGAAAATCTGGAGCATCAATTCACAACACGTGGCTATAAACAACACCTAATCAGGGGACAAATAAATAAAGCAATTTCCACACCTAGAGAAGACACCCTAATGTAGAAGATTAAAAATAAATCTAGCCGCATTCCTCTAGTAACCACTTTCAACCCCACTCTGCCTCCACTATCCCAAATAATCAAACGTCGCTGGGAAATACTACATCTCAAACCAGACCAAAAAATTTGTTTAAGAAACTCGGCCTTCTTGCATATCGTAGACCTAAGAACCTAAAAGAAATCATAGGTAGTAACCACATTTCAGGGGACAAGGTAATCCGTAATAAACTAAGAACAAAAACAGCAGGATTTTCCCAACCATGTAACAACAAAAGAAGTTTATGTTGCAACCATATTAAAAACACGAATTCATTCACTAGCTCAATCACTAAATCTACTTTCAAAATCTACCACGATTCTAACTGTAGAAATAACATAATTTACCTCCTAGAATGCACACTATGCCAGAAACAATATGTAGGAAAATCTGATGGCCCTTTCACTACAGAATTAATAATTATCGCAATCGAATTAAGTCGACTCCTCATGAAAAATTATTACCTGTTGAACAACATTTCCGCCTGGAAAAACACGATTTCAAAACCCATGCCAAATTCACTATAATTGAGAGAATAGAAAAGTTTAGTGCAGATAACATTAGAAAGATTTTAGAGTCCCATAAAAATAAGTGGATACAACGTCTAAAATCACAATATCCAGCCGGGCTAAACCATAAAGTTAACAATATAGATAGTCCTAATATATAACACAACAAATCAAAAAAAAGGACTCTGCATCATGCCACACAAGTAGGAGAACCCAGTCATGATTGTTAGATAATTTCTGCGGCCGCACCATCCGTTTCATCAAACCATCTAACTCCCCAGACTGCACACCTTTTGAATATTATGTGTGGGGCGCAGTTGAGCGAGAGACCAACAAAACTCCTTTTAACACCAAAGATGAATTTAAGGCAAGGATTATGGCAGCATTCACCAACTTAAACAAGGAGACCGTCCAGAATTGCTGCAGGAGAGTCTGAAATTGTCTGGAAACCGGGTCTAAAGTCAATACCGATTTTATTGAATAAATATACTCTTTCGTATTTCAAGATATTTTTGTGTAATTTTGGTAAATATATCTGTTAAAAAGTGATGTCAGTGTCATTTTATCATTCTACATTTATTTTTACAATTTACACTGTGCGAAATATGGATATTAAGAAATTCTTTTCAAAAAATGACACGCTCAAAGAATAATGGCGGGAAAATTCTAAGACAGGAAAAAAGAAAATGTCGATCAGAGAAGAGAATAAGTTAGTTGCTATCAGCGAAATGATTAAACCAAATGAAAGTATAGTGGATAAGTTTGTTAGATTAGTGACCGAAAGATAGTAAACGAAATAAGAAACAAATAGAGACAGACGTAATTTCGACGAGACGTCGAGGTTGGCTGGTAAGACAGCAGAGAATATCATGTAATGGAAGGATGTGCTAAGGGATTTTGTGCAGTAATGGACGCGCACTGGCTGCTGTTGCTGTTAACAGTCATGTCTATCTAGCTATAATATAAATCTTTTAACTCAACCGACAGATTCTGGTGGTTTAGTTTTAATGAATCTTCCAAAGTTTTGAATAGAGCACTCTACAATAGGTTTGGTTTGGTATATTTTCTTTTACGGTATATCATCCTCAATGGGTTATTTAATGCCGACAAGATTTTTATTGCCGGTAATATTTTAAAAATGTGTTGCTGTTAATATTTTTTTCTTCAAAAATGTATTGTTGGTAATAATGTATTACTGGTAATAATTTTCCTTCAAAAAGTTTATTGTTGTTATCAAAAGCGATTTTTGCACTTTCATAGTGTTTCAACCTGAGTTTGGGGTTAACTATTTAAATGTATTGCTGGTAATATGTTTTATCCAAATTGCTGGTAATATATTTTTTTCAAAAATGTATTGCTGACAATAATTTTTCTTCAAAAATTTATTGCTTTTAATATTTTTTTTCAAAAACAATTGCTGTTTTTAAAACCTATTTTCACATTTTCATAGTGTTTTAACCCCAGTTTGCGGGTTAACTATTTGCCCTAAGAGGTGCTACCACCCCGGGTAAGGTGCACCCGGGAGCACCATCAATTCAGAGGTGACTCTACGCTGCTCAAAAGCTCTTAATCAGAGGCCTTTCTGTTGAACGTAGTTTATCGTCTTACCCAGGACGCGGATGTAGTTTATCGATCTACTATAGGACGAAAATATGGAATTTATTTTTTTTTAGTACATTCGACTTTCTTAGTTGTTATCAAAAACTACGTATGGTCAGTGTGATAGACAAGTTTTTGATGGCTAAACCCGTGCAGTTTTTCTGAACGCTGGTATTCAAATTGATCCATAGTGATGTAATGTGCAAAACGCTTACACGCAGCGAGACCAAACCAAAAAAGAACTTGAATCAAAAAATATATCATCCGACCAACTAACTCTATCACAACTATTATCGAAAAGAACTTATCGAAAGTCAACATAAAACTGTTACAACTACATCTAAATTTACTCCAT